ACGTGGTAGTTTTTTGTAAATTTTGTACTACAATAGAAAAAGCTAAACCAATTCAATCATATATTGGTTCTGCCTACTACGATTTAATTGGATGGCAATTGTCAATTACTTTGTTACTTACTTACCCATTGTCATGTATATGTTATTTGGGTTTTAACTAATCAGCAATCAGAAAGAGAGTCAATGAACTAATTTTTAAGAATGGAGCAAAGAAAAGCTCAAAATCTCATGTAATGTGAAAAGAAACACATTGGTGCAATGCATAATATAATAAGTTATGTTAGGAATGCTGTGTATGCCCTAGTTTTCCAGGTTTGAACTTCTTTGGGAAACCTCTATTAAATCAGTACTCTTTGATCCTTTTACTGGTGATGGTCCAGTTGAAGTATTTTTGATTAGATTAAACTTTTTACTTGTCAATATGTATGGTAATTTAATATTTTAAAAATCAAATGCATGAGTGTATTTAAAATTTTATTTGAAAAGAAAAAAATGTTCTCTTGCATTCTGAAGCTATGACATGCAAGACAGCACCCTAATAATTGTTAACTAATAATAAAGGACATCCTGGTGCTAAATATTTACTGTGTAATTGAGTGTATTCCTGGTCTTTTATGTTGCATATTGGCATCATCGGAGGCCATTGGTTTACTTTCCGGTGATTTGTGCAAGGTACCATAATGGGAGTCCAAAAACACAAAAGGCTTTCAATTATGTGTTTAATTGGTGTGTTCAGAATCTATCATCAATAATTCAAAGAGCTTCAAAGTCCTCCAGCATACTGTCAACACAATAGAGTCAGATAGAGACTCTCCTGGGACAAATCAAATTGGAGGAAGTAATCAAAATTCTTAATGATTATCTTCAATACTACTGGGGTTTTTGATTTATTGTTCTTATCAATTCAAGTAAAGAAATGTATAAATGTTACGTGATAAACTGAGTGGCTGAAAAAAAGATCACCAGCCTGTGCTTTAACTAATACACTGCAAACAAAGCATCAGTTTAATTGTTAATTCACTGAGCAGAAATGTCAACTGAGCTTTTCTCATCACTCATTTTCCAATGTCAGTCTTCTCTGTCTGTCTGTCAAGCTGTCTGTCTATACATCCTTCTAAGCTTAACATTTTCAACTTCTTTTAAAGAATTACTTGGCAATTTTAATAAAAATAAAAAATATAAAGAACTATTGGATCAGAAAAGCATAGACTAGTATATGTAGAAGCTATCTGTGGTAGTTTAGAATTTCAAATTGATCAAATCATGGCCCCAGGGGAAGGGTGGGGCCACATAAGGGAATCATATTTTACATTCAAATACATGAGAGGAATCTTTAAAACTCATCGTAAGAACCACTGGACAAGAAAAGCTGAAACTTATGTTGAAGGTTCCTGAGGTACGTTAGATTTTATATTGTTCAAATCATGGCCCCCTGGGGTAAGATTTGGCTAAGATATGAAAAGATAGTTTACAATGAAATATAAGTGAGAATAAGTGAATAAGTGAGCTTAGAGAACCTGAACCTATGCACAAGCATTCTGTGGTAAATTTATCAAATCATGGATAAGGGAAGGGGGGGGAGGCAATAAGGAAATCAGTTTTACATTGAAATACATACGGGGAAATCTTTTTAACAAATCATAAGAACCATTGTACCAAAAAAAAAAAATAAAACTCGAGTAGAAACTGTGTGAGATAGGATATATTGTAAATTGTTGCCCAAGAGGGTACTAGGGTGTTGCCACAATGGGGATTATATAGGAAAGATCTTTAAAACTCCCCTAGAGTGAATCTGTAATGAATCGCATAATGTGACATCCGATGGCAGTGAAGATCCATTTCTTAACATCACAACTCCTGTGTACAGGATGGGTAAAAATACAGAGGAATAAAGGTATTTTGAGGAAAAATCTGTTGCAGCACAGCAGGACCATTGAAGTGACTAAAGTGAGCAGAGTGGCCCATGGGCCTCTTGTGATTTTGTCGTTTGATCTGGTAGAATTTATTTGTCTTTGTAGTACTTGTATGGTATCTTCCTCCATACTGCATTGAAGTACTAGTATGTATAGTATACAATATTGTATACAATAAGATTTTAGCAAAACCTTTCCCCTTGCTTCTGAAAAAAAAGTTATCTTGTTACTTCCTCTTACAATAAATTCAATTTCTTCCTTTGCTTCATTAATAAGTATATACGTTGTGTTGTAATGGTGACTTGTGACTGTGGACAATGGCCTCTTCATTAGGCAACTGGTCCATGGCCGTTCAAACTTGAAAGATAGTCGGCAACTGATAATAAATTACAACCAAAAGTTACAGAAAATGGTGCAAGAAAGACTTGAAAGGACTATATCCGGAAGCTTTGGTGTCATCTGAAGCTTGGAGATGCTGGTATCCTGTAAAACAATATAAACGTGTTGTTTTGACAAGGAACACGGTTCACCTTTTTGTGAATTGTAAAATATTAAATTTATAAAATAATTCGAAATGTTGAAAAATGTTATTTTGCTAGTAATTCAATTGTACCTTGTCCTGATATTATGGTTGAATACTCGAGTTGGAGGGGGGTAGCGCAATCGTGTAGATGTGTAGATGTGAAATGTCCTGTGCGAAAAGGAATAGACGTAGGAGGATTTTACCCTTACTTTGGACTTTCAGTAAGGCGTGGCATTCTCGGCGCTACGTAATGGAGAATACAGGTAGATTCTCATTGGTTAAGAAATTAATAACATCAGGAACTTAAAATTGTTGTTGATAACGATGAGACGACTTATGCCCCACCTCTGTGCCGTGAGAGAACTTTTAATTGGCTATTTACAACACCAATTGACATTCGGCCGCATTTCTATCATATGTATATTTCAACAGTGAAAGGAAGCCGTGTAAATTTCAAAAGCTAATTAGGTAACGTCGAGAATACCACGCCTTACTGAAAGTCCAAACTAAGCGTGTAATGATAATAATACCGTATTTGTATCGGGATCGATGTAGAAAAATACACGTGGCGGGGCTCCACTTTTCGATGCCCTTGTTCTAACTTGTATTTAACCTAATATTTTTGTAATTCAATTCTTTGATAGTTTTAAAAATGAAAAATTAACGTATATCTTTTTCGTGACAAATGTTAAAAAAAAAGTTTTTAATGTCTCTAGTATGTAAATAGAGAATGAAAACAAAATAATTCAGAGAATGATGAGAAAATAATCATCAAATAATGGCTTTGAAACAATAGTGATCATATGCAGGACTTACAGGCAAAATCAGTGAACGGCAACCTTCTGATTGACAAATAGTTATTTTTTGTAACATTTACACTTCTTTAACTGATTCATCAAATGTTTTTGATGTAATGAGCTTGTATTCATGTTGTGAAAATTTATCATTTACAGTTTGACGATATTCAGTCTTTCAGAGATCTTTCCGATTTCGCTGTCATAGATAGGGGAAATGTAGTGTATATTCTAGAGTTCAAAAGAAATGATAACTAGCCGAAAACAAATCATATTTCATCTAATAAAAATATTGAATTAAAGTACTTCTATCATGTTTTATGATTGCTTTGAAATTCAAACCACTTGCAATTTGCCGTGAGCAAAATCACAAAACTTTGTAGAAACATAGCTATGGATGTCACGTATCTACATGCACAGAGGATCAGGCGGAAAATGGCGCCGAAATTTCCAAGTTCATGATCAGAAGATACGGCCTCTAACCAGAAAATTTGTTAACCAGAAATCGGCCCCTTTGAAGTACCTGAACATCGCTGCGTGCTATTATCCTTTGATTTTAAACATGCAATGTGGATCTGATTGAAATCGAAGAGCTTGTAGTCCGGAAGTATTAAAGTTTCAGATTACGTCCATTTTATTCGTGCTGATACACATTGATTAGCACAAATCAAGCCACACAGTCAATCAAATGACTATAGATTGAATTTTTATTGCAAGAAGCATGGTCCAAATATTTCAAAAGGAAAAAAAATCCTTGGTATACAAATATTTTATTTTTCCTGTGCAAAATTAAAGATCTCCAATGCATATGGTTACGTAGCCATACTCCCTAATTGAACAGACAGACATTCTGACGAGTGGATTTTGGAGGAACACGTTTCATAAGAAACAAAATCTTGGTCGCACTCACAACCTATTCTGGATCATCTTTTGATTCTCTATCAAGAAACAGTAGGCCTTTTCACAAAAAACATTAATTTACATAAACTGAATCATTTCTCATTTATTTCTTACGAAAACCATTTTCCTTTATCAATCAGTAAACAACACTGAGCATATCACGTGTACAAATTTCTTGAGTAGTGGCTCTTCCATCATTGAAACACAAATGTTTATTTTCTATTAGTACGCGAATTAATGTTACAGCTATTCGAAAAAAACATACACAACCTGCTACGTGGATTATGTACCTTTTCTGCAACAGCTACATTGATTCAGGACTAACAACAAATAGCATGTTTTTGTTACATAAACTCACCCTATACTTTTCTGTTATATTACAACCTGCGTAAAATTTATCTGTATATATTTCGTTCTCGAATCTTATGAGTATCAGTGTCAAATAGTAAGGAGACGGACTTATGTAAGTTAAAAACTTGTTTCCGACAACTATTGGGCCTACTTTAATTTGGACCTAACGATCTCCCACCAAACATAATAAAAAGTCCTCCGTGATCACTGGTCTTGCATTCATAATGGTAAGCAGTTATTTTCCTGTTGTCCCTGTGATATTCATCAACATAAGAAGTTATATTTTAGTTGTCAATACCCCTGCGATAATTATTCATCAACATAACATCTTCCTGGGAATGAACTTAATGATCGAGTTTAATCAGATGAATTTAGGTTCCCTGCAACATCTGTTTCTATATATGTAACCTTGCTTGTAAAAGAAAACTCCATAGAAAACGGTATTCAGTTGAAGAATACAAGTACATTGTAAAAAGTAAAAATAACAAATGACTTTAAAAGACTTTAATCAAATGCTACGTATGCTCAGTATAAAATTTGCTTTTCTTTCTTTTTTTGTTGCATGTTGCATTTAAGCTTTGTATCATTCTTTGTTTTTGTTGATGAGTATACTAGTATCCAGTTGGATGGAATGTAATTAGAATGTTTCTCCTTTGATCATTTTTTTGTTGTTTTTTCCCTTTAATTAGCAAGTCATGAAGTATATTAAAAACATTACAAGTCTGTAATACCAAACACTTGGTGTTTAAAGGAGATTCAAAGGCTGCGCCGTCTTTGTGGCGTCTGTGTGCATGTCGGACATTTCATTGTTCAGGGAGTCTTTGGAGGAGGAAGTCCCGTGGGTAGTGTCGGAGGTACTGCCCTGAGAGTGCTTTGTTCCCGCTCCTCCGTCCATCAGCGACACTTTCATGTTGTTTTTGGAGGGCTGCATTGACGTCTGTAGCGTTGGTCTCCTATGAATACCGGTAGGGGGCGACAAATCGTTCATACGGAATGTTAACAGACCCTGCTTGGCTCGAACTAACCGGTATTTGGCATACGTGTTCATTGAGGATGACGCCATCATAGCAGAGTTAACATATCTAAAGGAATTACCATTTTCTGTCAGTATCAAACAACGACAGAATGACCGGATGAACGTGTGTCGGAATCGCTGTCCTAATGCACAATAAAGTATGAAGTTAACACAGCTATTTAGAGTTACCATGAAGTTACGAAAAGTAGAAAGAACGTTCCATCCACATGATATTTTTACAGTTTGTATGTCGATGGCCCAAGCTAAATTGTAGATCAGAGCTGGAATCTGGCAGATGATAAACACAATGATGATGGAGACCAGCATAATGGTCACGTTATTCTCACGTGACTGTCGGACATTCATGTCTTTTCGCTGGATCCGAGACTGACGGACGGCAAGAATCAGAAATGTGTTGAGTACCGAGAGAGATATTAGAGGGACTATAAACATAACTAGAAGGTAAAGCCAAAAGAAGTAAACTTGTTTGTAATCGTCGTTATTCACTAAATCGGTCGGTTCGTAAGATATTGCCGACCGGTTATAAAACTGCCCGGGATCGTGGAATTTCAAACGGTATTCAAACCAACGACTCGTATTGAACAGAACGGAAACTGCCGATACTATCACTATGACAACACGTGCTCGCGCTACTGTGCACATCCGGGCAGCTCGAAGTGGATGACAGACAGCGATGTACCGTTCCACTGTGAAGGACACAGTTAGCCATAGAGTGGACATTTGGGCGGTCAGAGCAAGAGGGTACACTAGTACCACCACGTACGGCATCACCTGACTCTTGAATTCGGAAGACAGGGAGGGGATACTCATCAGAAGTAGGGTACAGAATATAACCACGGTATCCCAGATAGCTAGTGCCAACAAGTAACAGTTAGTGGAAGTATGCATCGCTTTTCTCGTTAGCACCACGATAGAGAGACTGTTTCCAATCATCCCCAGTATAACGATGACTATAGCTAGGTAGCCCATCACAACAGTTTCTGTGGTACGAGCCGTCTCACACATAGGGGTCTCGGAAGCACTGACCTCTTTATGGAGAGTGTACAATTCAGTAAAATTTTCTTGGCCGACCTCGTACTTCATAATGTGACTAGATTGAAATAACGTTCTGTTTCCTATCCATTTCTAGTTTCTTGACAAGAATTCTTCATTTTTGAGTACTCTGTTTTGATGACTCACTTTCTCATTACCAGAACATCACTTTCTCCAAAGACAGCAAAAAAATCGTCTAAGTCTCAGTTTCCATTGGAATACGGTGACTGTGGTTCAAATGAAAAAAGTCAAAAGTTTAAGATTTGATATCATGAAAATGAATATTTTGTAGAAAAGAACGGAATGAAAGATGGTTTAGAAGATTCATTGTCATAATAAGGAACATTTGCAGTAAGATAAAGATGAGAAAATTGTTAAAGTTAATTAACAGCGTGACACGAAGGCTCAGGCATAGAAGTCGCGCATAAGGGGTTGTGAAGTATGGGTAAATCTCCTTAGCATTTAGTCAAACAGGAGGAAAATTCATCACAATTATTTTGAAGAAGTTTGTTTGCAAGAGTTTCATGACGTAAAAAGAAATTCACGCGTTCCGGTTTAAGTCAGAGATTCTTTTTCATTGTTCATCGCAATTAGATTTGCTGAAAATCTATATTAATCAGTAGACTCATGGAACCCGGAAAATATTAAGAAATATAGCTATTTACAAAAATGTTAAATCTTTGATTGATTTGTGTAAAAATACGGGGAATACAATAAAGAGTCAAGAGAATTAATGTTTTATTTTTTCCGAAGTTATTTTTCGTTGATTCCTAGTTGTATGGAAAACCATTTCCTGTGGCGCGATTGGTCTTTCATTAATCACGTGTGATTGGCGTAGTCTTTTATTTGCTAAGTAAAAATCTCATCTTATTTTCCACAGAACTTCGCGACGTGACGAAGTACACCGTCTTATTTCTAAATGAATGGATGCCGCCATTTAGATAATTGTTTTTCCCTCGTTTCTTTATACGTGTTATGTTAAGGTAAGGGGAAGTGGCGGAGATTAGCAGGCGGCTAATTCCTAAAACCGCAAACAGCAATTCTTTTTCTGTTTTCATTAACTTTTGTAAAAGGCTAATAAGATTTCAGTGCTTTGGTACGGGCTGCTTTGACAAAACCGTTGATTTATGTTGGATTGGTATATCCTCCAATTCTTTTTTTCTTTTCACTTTTGATTTTATCTGTCGTCATATCAAAAATCCAATATGACATAAAATACTGAAAAATTCAAGATAACCAAACAATGAATTGCATTTTTCAGCGCAAAAATTAGTCAAATTACAACATTTTCATTCTTAAAGCTTAGAATACATTCTTTTTTCTTTCGATAAGTACTTTTGATAAGAGATATTTTTATAGGAATTATTTTTTGTTTATTTTAAAATGTTTAAAGCAATCTTGTAATGATTGTTACGATAATAATAAATAACAATAAAACACCAAAGATTTTAGGGAGAAAATGTTTACATATAATATTAAAAATATTTTTTTTTTTTACAGCGGGGCATTTGTCTGTCATGTTCTAAGTTTTGAATTTACCGGTTGGGAGTAAATAGAAAAATTTATAAGTTGACAACCAGTTGGCTAGAGTTAATGTTTGGCACTTTGATGTCTAATATCTTGTTAAAGAAATATTCCTATAGCAGTGAATATTGTTTTCCAATTGCCCAGTTTAAGATTTAGAGCTAATACCGTTTGAGAAAGGTCATTTGATTTGAGAAGGGTCATTTGATACTTAATGTCCTTTATAAAGGTTATTTGAGATCCCCTTCCCTCAAATGCTCCAGGTCAATTGTCGAACAGCTTCCTTATAACTCTGTCATTTTTTTCTCTATAACTCTTGGTATGTCACTAAGAGGCCCTGGTGTTATTGAGTTTTTGACTGGTGATCGCCCAATCCACGTAATATTTCTAAGGGTTATACGGGGATCAACAGTGAGGTGGTATGCCACGCTCCTCCAATGGCTGCATCCTTTTCAGCGAGAAAAGTGTTATGGTGTAAAGTACATGTACAAGTGAAATACAATCAGGAATTGAAAATCTACAGCGCCGATGATTTCCAAATGAAACAATCTGCGAACCACTTTGTGAAGGATGATGTCAAATGTCAGTCCATTCTTTCTGACATGAAATAGAAGGCCCGACTTTAAAGCGAAGTTTAGCTCATTATCTTTTTATTTTATTACTAATTCAGTGATACGTATTGGATTCATCTCTCTAGTTTGTGAAGAAGAAAAAGGGATAATATTACAGAGCTGTATTCTAGTAGCTAACAATTATAATACGTCAATAAAAAATAAAAGACAAACTGCAACATTCATTAAATTATTCTATTCAGCAAGACAAAAAAAGTTAGTCTCTTTTTTATACTGCATGCCCCCATTATTTAAAATGAAACGTTCCATAGTTTTGGATGCAAAAAGACTAAACGTATAGATCTGATGAATCGAGTGCAACGTAAAGCAGATTCACTTGGCATTTTTGCTAATACATGTATTTACTACACATTTAGTTTTTATTTACTTTAACATATATTTGAAGAACATAAAAGGGTAAAGATATCACTCATACAGTGTGTATATATAAGTGTCGTTTTAGTCATGTACTCATTGGCAATTGAAAATTGTTAATTAGTGAAAGACATAAATTATAACATACCGGTACCTACTATTAACGACGTTCGATCCTGATATTTAAAGTCTCAAACTTTTTTTGCCAAGTATATTTTTAGTTTCTACATACATAGCTTAATTAAAATTCAAATCAAAAAATGGGGGTCAATATGCTTCTTTTGGCGCTACAGTACATTTAATATGACCTTTTTGCACTGAAATTTGTGTCTTTATTAAAATTACATTTTCGAAGTTTTCCCTGCAATATTTTTATCCAAGTAAAGCACGAAACAAAATGAACTCTAAGTCTGTTGAAAAAAAGACACTTTAAAATTGTGACTAAGAAAAAGTTTCATATTGCATCGCCTAATCAATTATTTGACCTTTCTGCACTAATAAAATGTGATTTTTCTGGCATTGAAAATTTAATAAGCAAGAAAATTATTTTAAAGTCTTAAACTTTTTCTGATTTTAAGCAAATAGGTCAAAGTTATCTTGAATATTTAGAAAAGAACATCAACAGTGGGGGTATATGATGTAAATTTTCAGATATTACTAAAAAAGTGTCAATTTTACGTTAAAATTGGCTAAATTTTTTCCCGGATTTTTAGAATATATATACTATATTTATCAAACTTTGTTGATAGAATTCATAAGAAATAATTTAATAGATATTTCAGAATCAGCATGACACATTTCACTGCAAAAATAAAGCTTTGTGTGCAACCAGCATGGAAAAATAGGAATCCAAAATAAACAGTTGTTATAGTTCAAAAGGGAAAAACTGATCATGTTCGTCTAAAAAACCTTCCGCCACAAAATATAGTCCCTATTTTAATTGTACTTGAATAGAATTTAATCGCGGTTTTTTCATTGAATATAGTTCAATTTGCATTGTAGAATACAGATTTAATGTTAGAACTTAAAAATGATGGAGAATTTTATAAATAAAGGACATGACCAAAATCCACTCAAAAACTCAGGATCGAACGTCCTTAAGAAGACTACATGTATTTGTTAAACGCTTTATATAATTTGTTATGCTGCTGTAGGTAAGAGAATTTTCTTTATACACGTGTACATGTATTAGTAGAAATTATTATAGTATTTCCCCAAAGACCTTGTAATATTTAAGAAGAATTAGAATGCCGGCTTATTAATTTGTTTTGTCTGCTATCGTTAATTTTTTCTTGTAGAGCAAGGTGGTAATTTTTATTGCATAATTGTTTATTAGGTCTGGACGAGGCATATGTTGAGTTGATAACCATGTAATCAATTGCAACGTCGGTATTAATATACGTTTGTAATTACACGAAGATGATGTGCAGATAAATAAAGCAAGGTCCTTAGACTTGGAGCGTGTTAGAATAAAAGTGCTATAAAAGTCGATAGTACTTCTTTACCATTAAGGAAGGTAGGAAGTCCTAGGTCACTAGCACTTTTTTCTATCTTTTGCTTTTTGAGAAAAATAAGGAAAAAATAAAAATCATGTTTAATAATTGTGAATATTTCACGCCTTTTCCCGTAAAATGTGCAGCATGAAATCATTACCGTGAATTCCTCGACAGGCGAGGCGTAGAGGGATCAGTGACTTATTAAGTTGCTTCTGTTCGCAAGCTATTTTGTGTGCATTAACTAGGAAATTATTCTTTTCTGCATTATCAATCATAAGATGAATCTTGAACCACACCAATCATTTACTCATTCATTTTTTAAATGCATTTCTAATTTAAAAAAAAAATCGGTTTTTCTAAATAAAGAAAAATATGATATAAGAACTTGATTTTTTTTATCGCCTTCCATTTTAATTGATGAGATGTATTGAAATTCAGAATCAAATTTTCACACCTAAAGAGCACGAAAAATCATTTCTCACGGGAAAGACGGACGAACTGTCTCAAATATTTTTTTTTTCAAATGTATTTTTAGATTTGCTGACATATAGAATATAACAAGCTTTTTAACAAATTGCTGCATTTGCAAAACGAAGTCTAGGATTTGCAAAGTTTAGTAATGGAAAAACAAGTTTGACTAAGTTTTACTTACTTTTGAAAAAATCCAAATAGAAATGTATTGTGCAGGACCCAATCTTGAATTAAGGCAGAAATATTTCCTCTGAAGAAAACCACCTATGCCTGAGATAATATCAATTAAAAAGAAAAAAAATGTATTCCTGAATGAATACGTCACTGCGTTTGGAGCGATGTCTTTGGCTTGCACGTATCGGAGATGTCAATTCAGCGCTGTCTTTTACAATTGACAAGAAATACTGTAACTTGTTGAGACAGCGACAGATCTATTTATAGTGGTGCTGGGATTGCAATACCCAAGTGTAGTACCAATCAATTATTATTTCTGTATTTTGTTGACATATGACTTTATACCACTAGTATGTTGTTGACTTTCATTTTATTTCAAAGCAATGCTTGCATGATTTGCGTAGGTTTGTATAAATTGAGTTATCACACATTAACATCGCCATTGCATGTTAGGCGACATAATTATTTCAATCGAAATAAAGAATTAAAGGATGTTTGATTTCTTTAGACATAAATGCAGTCTAGTGTAACTGCAACCCTTCAGTACTCATGAATGATTTTTCTGTCGTTTAACCAGATTTTCTTTGCACGTTTTATGTGATTTGATGTGCCACTTATTCAGGTTATCGACAAAATCGGGGACGTCCTACCCCCCCCCCCCCCAAATCAAAGACCTCACCGTTATATTGGTAATATCCGTACCCCAAATACAATAATAGGAACATTGCTTTTAAAAAGCGTAAGCGAAGGATGGCGCTGTTAAAACTTTTTTTTTCCCCAACAAGCATGGAAGCTTTACATTTATACCAATAAAAAAAGTCAAATTTGGCTATATGATCTGATAGAAAGTCGAAAAAAAAAACATATTACATTAAAATAATAAAAAGAGAATAAAACAACAACGATGCATTGTTCTCAATTTAAATACATACGATGTATATCATAAAAGAAATACTTAAAACGATATAACGGTAAATTCGTGCTTCGGATATTTATTTCACGAGTGGCAAAGAATTTTGAGATATTTTTACTAGTGATAAGAACTTGAAAATATAGAGTGAAGAAAAATTCTGTCTTACGAGTGAAATAAATTCCTCTTCTACAAAGTATTATGTAAATTTATAAAATAGCGGGTATAATTAAAATTAAAAAAATAAAATGTTAATTCTATGTTATTTTTTTGATTTTTTAAATTTTGAATACATTGGAAATATGTACGAGAAGATTAAATTATATTAAAAAAAATATCCTTGGACCAGTGGTGTATATTTGGGGGTGGGGGTGTTCCTGTCTACAAGCACCTGTGGAGTATTGTTAACGCTGCACTCTTCATATTCTTTCTTTCTGTGACAAGG